ATGATCAAGCCTATAATTCAAATATTCTCCCAATTGCTCCTATTAACTACTTGTTAAAAACTTTAATTATATTAAAATGATTTAGTGTATAAGTGTTTATATCTTATATCTTACAGACCACTACGATATAATGTCAGTATGATTATTAGACTTAACAGAATTTTTATGATATATTAATCAGAATAACAGGTTAAGAATTCAAGCCATACTGGTGCAGGTACAGCTTACTACTTGAATTCTGTTATGTTAACTGTTCATATTTTTTTAAATAAAGATACTTTAGGTCACGAATAGTTAGTTTGCATCCCCTAGTTTATAAATTATAGATAAGTATATAAATTCAAGAAAGTTAATTAAGAACAGAAGGATTTTATAATTTACGGACATTGCCAAATATTAAATAATTGATAGCCTAATATTTTAAATATGAAATATCCTGACTACTAATTTTGTTGTGTACTATAATATCAAATTACTTAGCTCTTGTGTCTGGATTATAATTTAATCATTTCTAAGGATTAGACAACATAACAGCGGTTACTACTCAATGATCTATTAGTTTTGTTAATTGATTATTACTAAGAACGTTTGTCTTTATAACTTCAACGTTTAAATCAAACTTGCTAAAAATTTACTCACTTTGTCTGCAACTCTTTGGTTGACTAACGGTACAAAACCGACTCATTTTTTAAACAACATACTAACACATGAACTAAAGGCTCTCTTTAACCTTCAAATTATCTAAAAATAATTGAAATGAACCATTTTTGTCAGCTTTAGGCTTTTTATTACCAGTTGTTTCTTGTGCAATTCATTACTCACTTAAAACGACCCTATTACAGTTTCTAATTTTCACTCCAATCAGTCAGTCAGCCACAACGTAGGACCAGTCACATATGTGCATTGGTTCAAGTTGCACAACAAGATGAACAACGTAATCATAGAAGTAGTTACTTCAATGATATTAATATATAAAAGAACGATTGTGCATAAGTACATAGTACAAGAATTAGTTCGTAGAACGAAAGATATGAAGTAATTTTAATCTCATGGTTTAAAGGAAGACAGAAAGTGTATACACAGACGCCATTGTGATCGATTATGAGCCATGTCACACAGAGTCTCCAACCATTGGTTACGATAGTTACGCGGACATCAACCAAGTAGTTCGAATCTACCAACATGGCTCAGACCAAAAGTTAGTGACTTCAAGGATTGATGTTACGTTTTGGTTTGACCACCCCTAACTTTTTTCCAACTATCCCCAACACTAGTCACCATTAGACGTCGTGGTAATCGGTGTTCAGGCATACTTAACACGTGGCACTGAAAGTCAATGTGTTCAAGATCATTTAACTAACAACCCTCGGAGTGAACAAAATATGTGCTGTAAATCGAATCTGAAACGCTATCATTCAGTGGTGTTTAATTACATTTCTCAAGCATATATTAGTAAAACCTGAAATTCTTAAACAATTTGTCTTACAAACATAATTGCCTACAAACCAAAACTTCTCTTTTAATTTTATTAACGTAAACTGGATAGAATGAAAGTAATCTAATGAAATAGGCATTTGTCAGTTTATTATAAAATATATAACATTAGGATAGTAGACCAACAAAAACTTAAACAAACATTAGTCGGCAATTGTGTTAGAAAATGACCTAATATCTACGAACTTATCAGGATATTCTAAAATAATATTATACCAACATTTGAGAAATTTATAGTCTTCATGAATGACATACATGACATACAATAAAAAAGAAAGTTAATTAATAACTAATAAATCTGTCTGAATGTAAAGTTTCTCCCTCATACGTCACTTACAGATATTATAAGCATACTCAAATAAATGTGTAATTACTTAATTTGATGCTTATCTAGTGTATAGAACACCAAGTTTAATATATGAAGTATTTTATTCAAAGTAACGTTATTCAAAGAGGATCTTTAATTATTGAATGGTATAAGTAATAAATACAGTATTTGTAATCATGATGAGTTGCATTTTTTCTGGTATCCTCCAGTACGACAGGATAGTATGAAAGCACTTACCTACTTCTTACTGTAGATTATACATTATGTCCATTAACTGTACTACTGAATAAATATTTAGCGTGAAAAAGTTAATCATAAACTTCCGGAAAATATGTTTTTGCTTCCAAAATTTTAACTAGCCTAAGATTTTTCTGGGGCATCTTTTTGATGGAAACCTTTTGCGATTTTTCTTTTCTTGGTTTCATGTTTCTGCTTTAACATATCCACTGAATACTTGTAATAATATTACTCCTATCAACCCATTCTTACTATACATTCCTTTATGAAGGTAGTATTAATAAAGTGCCTTGACCTAATACAAAATTAACTACAAAATGTCATGTCCAGAAAAAAAAAATCAAACAAAAATTATTCGCTTTTAAGATATCGGTTTCTTTCATTATCACAAATCATTTTTTACTGTCATATCTCCAAACATCATCTGGACTGGTTGAACAAAAACAGTATGGGATGTTTATGAACTTTGTTGATCTTCTTCTTCACATGATTGACATAAGAAATCAAAAAAACTTGAATTAAGCTTATTAAATCATTCACCTTACCCCATGGAATGTACCGTATAGTTTATAAGTTGTTTTTTCTATGCTACCGAAACTATAGAAATCCATATGTATAAGCTGAACTATTGTATCCAGAATAAATTTATTTAATTCTTCTTTCACCTTTGACCATGGATATAAGGTAAACCAGTATGACTTAAAACAGAATGTTTATTCCTGGTTATGCTGAATCCCTTTTATTTTTGTGTTTTTGTAAAGTTTTCATACCAATCATCATAGTCTTACGTAACAATTATCAATATTTGACTTGTTATCATCAAAATGCTTTGTTAATTATTCCACTAAATATTCATGTTTTGAACCCATGAACTGCATATCACAAATAACTACTTCCATTATTATATTCGACTGATCCTCCATCTAACCATAATTACGTAATTTAACATTTGACACTGTTTTCATTATCATTTGTGAACTTGCAACATTACTACGTAACACTACCACCTAAATGACTTATTTTACTATTATTAGTGAGGAGCAATAATGAAAAATTAGTTCGGAAAAAAACTTCACTTTTCATTTTTGACTAAATTCCATATTAAATTTGATATCACCGATGCTAATTTCTGTATTGAATAAACTTTCCACTAATTCAAGGGATAAAATGAAAAACTTAGAGTATTATTTTAATCAAAAGGTAAAATACTTCCATAACATTAAGCTAATTTTTTTAATTTATTACCTTTCTTTAAACATCAATGAAATCAAACTATCTCCTTTTTCACCCGAATCAATATATCATCAAGACATAAACAATTTTCTTGTGTTAGATACACTGGATCTCATTCTTTAAATAATCAAGTATCCTAAATCTATAAAGTGGACACAAAGTGATCATTTCAAAACTCATTGATTAAAATTTTCTTACTGTGCAAAACTCTCATAATATTCAAAATAGCTTTCAAATAAATCAATAGCTAATCATCAACAGTTTTAAGTTTTCGATATGATGGAAAATATTTTTGACTAAAGTCGGTGATTTTGACACAGTTTTATCCTCTGAGTGGTTTGTAAATGATTAAATCACCTGTATGTGTCTTCGAAGCATTGCTCGTATATCCTGAGACCAACGAGTAAGTAACTCAGTTGTTAGGAAACGGGTACTAGGTAAGGATGGTGAATAAATTGATGAAGTAGTGAAACCTAATCAGTTGAGATGGCTGGGACATGTGTTGTGCATGCCCGACCACCGACTGCCCCGACGCGCGATGTTTTATAGTGTAGGAGTAGGTTGGAAGAAAGCTAGATGCGGACAGACCAAAACATGGCACAAGTCCATGAAGTCACTGACAAGTGAACTGAGTCATGTTGGTAGGTGTAGACTATCTGGTTGGGGTCCACGGGATGATAGCAACCGATGGTTATAGACCTTGAATGACATGGTTCAAAGTTGTTTGCAATGGCGCAGATGCATCCACTCTTTGTGTTCTTTGTTATATTTGGTAGTCGCAATAGTTATATATGGTAGTCTCTGATTGTTGTGCCGGAAAAACGCTGATCACTTATACCCGAAACGAAGAACTTCCGCAATTCCCACGACGCGAAAGTAAGAACACAAAGACTGGTATAAGTGAATGTCTATTAACCCCAAAACACGACGACGATGATTCTAGTATAAAATGCACTGGTTTATGTATTGAGTGTACACCCATTTTGATTAAGAATTAGAATGAAATCACATATATGAAAAGTACTTACAGTTATAACAAATCATATGTTGAGTATAGTTCATGCCAATGGAGTATAAGAATATCGTATATTATACAGAATGAAATATCATACCGGGAAAACAAAACCGAATACTACACTGAAGGATCATCACATTTAATCAAAACGGATGTAATGTTGAATAAAACTCATAATGGGTAGATCAATCGAAAATTGACTTTTCTTTCCATCATATCATTCTCACAAATTCAAATCTTATAAATTCTTCATGTCCTTTTTTTCTCTTTCCAAATTTATTTCACTGGATTATACTCTTTGAATGACATATTCAAACCCTAATATTTCCAATTACTGTTTATACTCCTACTACCTCTACCACTATGGGATTTGAATCAACAATTGTATCTGTGTGCTAATGTGGTATGGCAACTTGAACTAATGTACGTGCGTACGAAGTTCTACATTGTTGCTAACTGACTGAAATCACCTGTAGACTATTCCACAGAAATCTTAGTTTTATTGAGCTTAAAAATCACAGTTTCTGATTCAGAATCAGAAAAAGAAATCTACTTTTTTGAAGCTAATCAGTAATTCATGTCAGATTAACTTACATCATCTTATATATGACATCATCAGCAACAATAATTATCACTATCTTATTTTTTGTCTTCTCGTCACTAAATTGTCTTTTTTTCAAATTTTAATTCTAGGCTACGGACATGTAACACCCCATACACGATTAGGTAAATTTCTTACAATGATGTATGCTGTATTTGGTATACCATTATTTTTTTGTTATCTTTCAAATAGTGGTAATTATATGGCATCATTATTTCAAGTTTTCTATATACGTATTTGTCAACCAGCATTTATACAGTTTAAAAAATGTGTAAAAAAATGTTTTAATCAATTCACTCATAGAAAAGTTACTCAACAATTCAAATCATCACAAAACAATAATATTTTAATCTATGAAAGAAATCATTCAAGATTATCATCATCAAATCCAGTAAAATATAAAAGATATAAAAGAACACTAACTAATACTACTTATAATCAGTCTAATAGTAGTAAAATTTGTAGTAATAACAATAATAATCATTTATACCATACTTATCATAGTCATAGCTATGCTAATTATAATCCAAGTGATAATTTGAATTTAAAAAATATTGAACGATCAAATTTAGCATGGAGTGATAAACAATCACAAACTTCTTCATCAAGATTATCATCATATAAACCAGATTATTTCATAGAAACTATACCATCTACATCTCCTTATATAAATACAAAAGCTTATTCAACCCAAAGATTTGACTTAAATGATATATACTCACTAAGACCATATTTACAACAACATACACCACTGGAAAGTTTTGACATATCAAATTATTATTCAAATACAACTCGTTCAATCAATGATCAATCATTCAAAGAATCAATAAATACTTCGAATAACCTTGAATTGCTTTCATCAATGAATATGATAAATATAGATCATCAATTAAAACAACAACAACAAAAACGACAAAGCGATTTAGATACAGGTCATTCAGCAATAAATGAATCGAATAAATCATCAAATGAAACAATAAAAACAGTTCCAATATCATTAACTATACTTATGATGACTGTTTATATATTATTAGGCGCTGCTGTATTTTGTTTATGGGAATCAACAGATTATTTAAAATGGTCGTATTTTTGTTTTGTAACATTATCAACAATTGGATTTGGTGATATTGTACCAGGTAAGCGAAATTTGTACGGTCATTATTGATAGATTATTAGTATTATTAAAGTAGAAGTGGAATGAAGGACTAAAAGTCATGCAATTATTATTATTACTAATACTACTGTTGCGAACGTGAACACAGGTGGGGACAATTAAATGTATCTTAATACAACATTACAGAATATCTTGATTGAATCTGAAAACCATACAGTGAATACTTCACTTGCGAAATATCCATCGATTGTCTCAGACTTTATTGTCCCTTCGTTTCCATACCAATCACTTTCTGTTCTCGTTCTTTTTTTTCTCTTCGGTTTTCTCAAGCTTCTGCTGCCAGGCATTTCACTTTCGATTGATGATACATACTACTAATATCGGTCGACATCAGTAGCACACACCACACTACTACTTTTAGTAGTGGTATTAGTAGTCATAGTATGGAGATATTAATATGTGTTTTATATTACTGACCAATTATAAGTAAACTGATATTTAAAACTGGGCAATAATCAACAGATGTTTAGTTCTAGTATCAGTCTTCTAAACAGTGTGTACTCATGGCCTCAACAATTATAGAAACAGGAGTTTTTCATGATTCATGGTAAGCATGTTATCTTCTAGGCCATTAATGAACTCTAACGATCATGAGCAAACAAGTACCAGTGTACTAAAAATTGTCATATTTACGTACTTTCGATATAAAATGTATTTGATAAATGAATTATTTATATCAATTTATCTGAGATAGATGTTTGTAAAATTGTACAAAATCCATCTTATTTCTGTACTTCAATCCTAAAACGATAAATTCGATATTTTATTTCACCTACTAACATCTTTTGATTCCAATACATTTACTATTTATCACTTTCATTATACACTACACCTTTCTAACTTGATAATTTTTCTGTCTTTTTCATTTTAGACAATGACATTACCATGATTAGAGCTACAAATTTCCTTCATTATTTGTTAAGGTTAAACTTGATAAAATATAGGACTAAAAATGTTTAAGTGTTTAGTTAGTTAAGCAGTTAGTATATTTTTTATTATTATTTTGAAACTTCATGTCTCCATAGGTTGAAAATACACAAAAATCATATGGAATTGTTCTTGGGGGAAAACATTATTCCCAAAACTTAGTCATAGGTTTTTTAATTAGTTAAGGGAGATCGACTTCATCTTAGTAGTTATAACAAATGTGATATTTCTCTTAAATATACATCTGGAAAAAAAGAAACAAATTACAAATAAATCTGTATTTTATCAATTTTTGTAATTTTTATAAAACTAATGATTGTTTAACTAATAAATCAATATTCGAAAATTTTATTACACTACTATATAATTTTCAGAATGGGGATTTGAGGCATTGTAGCAATTTTACTAGTTGAATTCATAAGACCACTATTGAAAACATTGAAGCACCATTTCGTCCCAGTACGATATTCCTAAGTAGTGAACATTCACGATCCCAAATGCGAGATCCGAACCCAGGACCTTTGATCTCTCGTGCGAAGAATTAAGCTCTAGACCACTGAGTCGGCATCCAACGGTGTTAATGTGTAACTTTAATTAATCAATGATCTTACTCAGCCCTCCATCCATTGTCTGAAGTGGATAACTGTTTCCATCCAACACAGATCGAACTCCACTGGTCACGGTTCCTCACTAGAACTCCAAGAAATTCATCTTGAAGCCAGTCACTAGTGAGAATATGGTTTGAGTCCAGTGTGTGGGATATTGGATGTGCATTACTGAGGAATTCCATACTAGAACGAAACGGCCATCCAGTGCCTCAATGTTTTTTTAATGGTGATCTAACTTAGATCGACTCATAAATTCAACTGTATACTAATTAATTGCCATGGCTAAATTATACTAGACACTCTTAAAGCTTGGTGGAATAAAGGCTAGTGAATACTTCTTAATTCAAAATCACGTCATCATAAATATATGCAATAGTTTTCTCTACTATAAAAAGTGTATTTTTATTCAAAACCTAAAGATATATTTGAAATTAACTGGTCATCATCTTCAAAGGAAAAAACTAATGAATAACACTTCATCTCCTCTCAGTTCGTTGAAAGAAATTTTCCTCTTGAATTACTTGTTAAAGTTTTTCTATACCTAAGAAATGTATTAACAATTAAAACGTGTCATATTTAAAGTAAGGGTAAACAGATGTAAATATGCTTTCTGATGAAATATTTTTCAACTTTAATAGTACAAAAACAAAACTATCAAAGTGATTTTTCTTCACGCAAGAATAAAAATGTACCATCCCGTAAACTTACCTGGAATTAAATAAGAAAACAGAAGAGTAACAGATTAATGGTAATTTCTAGTTAGTGTATTGAAAATCCCTCATTAAAGTTGACGTATTATTCTCTTTAGGAAGTTGACACGTTATAATATACATCACATATCTACAGTTATTGCCCCCTCCCAATGCCCTGGTACGGCTTAGAATGGGGAGTCCGCTCTCCCGCTCGAAATGCTCTCATATGGCTACGTGTATATAGCCTCTACCAGGGAAGTACTACTCACTGACTTCTAGCACCAGGAGTGTTGGTTACGAAAGTCAGAGGACGAAAAGAGAAGGTCTGGCATCGGCTTTAACAAGGTTGGTGGACACGGAGAGTCCACCTAGGGGAGTTGGAAAATCCTGATTCTAAACCAATGGTGAACATGAGCTCCAGTATCCTGAGGGAACAAATGGAGTATGAACCTGTTGTTGGTCACCAGCTACCACGGGACTGCATCTCCTTACGATGTTCCACTGCTTTGTTAATCAGACCTTTAGGTCGAAGGCTGTGGGTATGGTCCCCTAGGAAAACAACCTGCTTCGGTTTTGGCACACAGGCAGCCCTTACACAAATCAAGTGAGATTTGTGTGGCGCATATGTATCTGGTGCACCCTCGTATCAGTATTTATCTGTTCAAATAAATAAATAAATAAATAAATTGCTACAGTTACTGAAGATTGTATGACAGTTTTCTGTTTAATTGATTCGCACCTATTTCTCTCTCTCTCTGTATATCCATTATATGGGAGGTTTTTCTTCTTGAATATCTTGTACTCATTTGATGCTTTATTCGATAAATAAATGACTAATATGTATCACATTAGAAAAACTATGTTGAAATTTAATTTAATAATAAAAATTCAAGTGAATATTATTTCGCCATAGTGATTAAATAGCAATATTATATGAAATAATAATTCAGTGATTCAATTATTCATTTGATTAACTTATTCAGAATTTTATTCTACAAAGATGTAATCGAAAGATATGGTTATTTTTTTTAAGAGAAAGATGTAGCCTTAGTATTTATTCCTTTGATTTACTGATAAGTAGAAATATTCTACTCAGAAATAATAATAATTAATTTACTGTTGATAAGGTCACTAGTGTTCTGTTTTGCTTTGATTCTGTAAAATATCAATATTTAGAATTTTTGAGGGAATTCTCGGAGTTCTAGTGAGAAGCCGTGACTAGTGAAGCTAATTCATGTCGGGTAGAGACAGGTATCTACCTCAGTACAATGAAAGATGGTCACGCAATTTCGTGGATGGGTTGGTGTTAGACATTAGCGCCATTAGATGCCGGCTTAGTGGTCCAGTAGGTTAAGTGTTCGCGCGCGAAACTGAAGGCCCTGGGTTTGAATCCCACGAGCGGAATCGTGGATGTGTACTGCTGAGGAGTCACACAATAGGATGGAACGGCCGTCCAGTGTTTCCAAGTTTCTAGCGGTGATCTAACATCAAACGGTTCATGAACTTAATCAAAAAATATTTTATGAAATAATAATTCAGTGATTCAATTTTTCATTTGATTAACTTATTCAGAATTTTATTCTACAAAAATGTAATCGAAAGATTTGGTTATTTTTTTTAAGAGAAAGATGTAGCCATAGTATTTATCCATCTGATTTATTGCTAAGTAGAAATCTTTTCATAAGAAAAGATCTACTCAGAAATAATGATAATTAATTTACTGTTGATAAGGTCACTAGTGTTCTGTTTTGCTTTGATTCGGTAAAATGTCAATATTTGGAATTTGTTCTAAAAAAACAACTCATTATTCATCTTTCTTTTACTGTGGGTTTCAACTTTAGATTATGGTATTCATTTTATGTGGAACATGTGATTTTATAAAATTATTAAGAATCATGCAATTTCATTTCTCGTGTTTCGTAGTAATTATAAATGGTCCAAATTTAATTTATAAGAAGGAAAAAATTTACATTTATAATAAGATAGATTTTCCGTAAAGATTATTTGCTTTAAGTTATATCATTATATATCTTATGCACTGGTTGTGAAACACAGTTTAGAAATCACCCTTTGGAATAAATATCACTCATGAAACAATGCAATCACTCCATTTTATTTAATCTAGATCTAATGAAACAACTGCCAAAGAAAAAATATTCCGTATCACATACAAAGTAAGTTGAACCAAAAATGAGAAATAATGCATTAGAGGAAGTAGATGACCTCTTCACTTAGGCATACACGAACACAATCTGTCAGTGAAGCTACACGATAACCTATAACTGATATTATTACATACAAACAAATGAGGACATGAATAAGACTGAGGAAACGTCAAAATTCTGGATCGTAGTAATTTTAAGAATGCCAGAGAATTTCTGAAATAGTGGTATTTAAATCAATCAGCAATCAATAGACATTAAATTAAGTTCAATCTGTCAAACTACTCGAAAAAGGTCAATCAGAAACCTGACCATAGGTCGACGGAATACAACAGCCGACATGAATATGTTGACAACTAAAGACAATGAAACCTACGAGGAAAGCCGATCATAGTCAAGGCTACCAAGACAAACTGATTAAAAACCCGTTGAACAACTAGAAAGTTCAATTTTACATGAAGTAAGAGCTAACAGTGATGTCCAGAACGACTATATAAGCTCAGGAATTAAACCACCCAGCTCAGAAAACTCAAAAAACACACCGGAGCTCCAAATCGCCCCCACCATCCAATT